AATGATTTCCATTCCTCCCTCTTCAATGGGTCCCTGTGCCCTTAGGAAGCATTTCCGGACCCATGTTCATATGAACTTTTTTACTTACCTTTGATCATAGAATCGGCCTGTTCTGGGTTGGCAGCTAATTATGAGACACCCTGTATAGTAACGATAAGTAAAGATATATGTGATACAGTGAAAAATTTGTTTTTATCTTAGTTATTTCAATCATTTTACCTAGAATTTATAACGTTTGAAGAAAAAATAGTATATGATATTCGGAGAATAAGATACTTGCTTCGCTTTCCATGAAGTATCACTTATTCTTCTAACATCATAATATGTATACTCATAACATGAATACTTACAGTAACCAAGAAAAACTAGATATGATTTTAATTTGAGAGGGCCGAAAGAACGCTAAAGCTGCCAGGTATTTATACCAACATCGTTTTCCGCAGAGACAACTTCCATCAGATAAAATTTTAAGTTAGCCAGGAATTTGGCGGCAAATGGAAGGTTTCAAAAGAAAAGAAGAGTTTTTACACCCGGAAGGGTAAGAGATGAAGAACATTTGATAAAGATGTTGAATGGCCTGCTAAATCTTTGGATCTCCCTCCTATGTATTTCTTTCTTTGGCCTTACCTAAATGATATTGACGATCTTAAAAATAGAATAAGAGTAGAATGTCGGAGATTATATGAAGAAACACTAGAATATGTTTGTAGAGAGGGAGTGATAAACAGAGCTATTCTGTGTTTGGAAGCAAATAGATCAATTTGAACATTTGAAATAAGTATTATTTTAAATTGTTATATTATTATCGTATTAAAAGTAAAAATTAATAGTTCTAAAAGTTGTTTTACATTGACAATTTATTGATCAATTAATTGATGAAGTCGCTTCATCAAGAAATTGGACAAGTGTAATGCTCCAAATCAGCTGTCAAATAACTTCATCAATTTATTCATCAAGTTCTTGACGAATTAGAGCATGTTCTAATTTTCGTCAATTTCTTCGTGAAGTTTGGAAGTACCGACCCAACGGATTTCCAGCCTCAGATCAGTAATGAGGTTATGTTATTGGAATATGTAAATAATTGTGTGGCGTCGTGCTAGTTTTGCATTGTTTTTACTGATTTGTTATTTACAAAAACTAATATTTATATAATATGTGTCAGAACGGTACCGCTGTTGTATCACTACAATTATGAGTGGAAAGGTGACATTTTTGAAATTTATTTGCTTCTTTGATTCATTGGTAGAACTGATTCATACGTCAAAAAATTTGACAAACTCTGTAGCAGTGTAAAACCACATTGTTTACCAATAAATTCGTGAATTAATTGATGGAGAACTTCGTCAATTTATTGATGAATAAATTGTCAATGTAAAACAGCTATAATGAAACTAAAGACTTTCTTACACAGCTAAACGCACAGGGGTGGCAGGAATTAGGGGGCGGCATTTCGTTCGTAAAACAGTATATAAATTTCATATAAAAAAAAACCCTTACAATACTTATATCAGTTTTAAAAGAATACAGTTAGACGTGGCAACCTCGCCCCATGGCGCAGTTTAATTACTCGGGAAAATTATTTGCGCGACTGTCATTTTTGACATTGTTCAACAATTATATGTATTTTTTTCAGCATCAACTGTAAGGTGGGATGTTTTGAAATAAAATATACCTGTATTAACTTTGAAACCTTTAAGTTGGGAAAGTAGAATAAATCCAATTAGACCTTTAATTTTAAATTATAAGAACGTTTACAAAAGCCTTAATGAAATAATCGAAAACGAAAAAAAAAGAATTAAAAACTAGAATTACAGCGCAAGCATTAATGGAGAAATTTATTTCATTGATAATTTGGAACGATCTTCTATCAGAAATTAACGTTGTTAGTAAAATGTCTCAAAATCCTAATATTTATATTTCCGAATGTGTAACTGCCTCAAAAAATTTAATTAACTATATTAGTGAAAAAAGAACTGATGAAAGTTTTAATTTAATTTATAAAAGAAGCTGAATCAATAGCTGCAGAAGTTAATATTTTGCCCGAATTTCCTCTTGTACGCCAAAAAAAAGTGCAATGACGAAAGTTGATCAAAGTGCCATTGTTGATCAAGAACAAAATTTTAAAGTACATTGTTATTTTAGTATATTAGATACCACGAACAATTCACTAAAAGAAAGATTTTCTTTAATAGAAGAATCTAATAATGTATTTAATTGTTTATACGAGTTTCACGAAATGGAATCAGAATTTTTGAGAAAATCATGTTTATTTACAACAAGGGAATGGGGACTTCCTTCAACGAGATATCGATGGAAAAGAGCTCTATAATGAAATTTTATGTTTTAAAGCCATTGTTACTTACCTCTTGTTTTCCTCATTTAGCCGTACATTAGGTACCTGTGACGGTCGCCTCTGGGGAAAGGAGTTTTAGTAAATTAAAACTCATTAAAAATTTCTTACCGTCTACTATGTCCCAAGAAACCTTGCCAATATTTCAATTTCAATTTTCAAAAAACTTAGACATATCAAATATAATAGACGATTTTGCTTCTAAAAAAGCTCGTAGGGTTTAACTTTAATTTTATTTATATATTTATTATAAATATATATTATAGACTTATTTTATTTTTGTGATTTTTCGGTTGTTGTGTATTTATTTTTAAGTTTGTTTTTTATCGCATGTAAATAAATATTAATCTAAAAACAATAAGGTTTTTATTTTCTTTATCAAATATCACAAAATGATGGGGTGTTAATTTTTGACGTAACTTACTCAAATCAGTATTTTTATTTCAAAATTTCATTCAAGAGTAGGGCGGCAATTAATTTTTTGCACTGGGCGGCAGAAAATCCAGGAACAGCACTGTCCATACCATAAATTAAAACAGAGGTGTATATTATAGAAGTCACACGTTCTCATTTGCCAGAGGCCCAAATATATCAAATTTGACAACCGCAGCGAGTTCCGGGTTAATTTCGGATTCCACCACATCAGTAAAGAGTAAAGAACACACTCACATTATACACAAAAGATAGCACATTCCTTCTAGTCGAGGAAATAAAGCACAAAAAGAGCCGAAATCTCCGAAATTTTTCGATCAAGTCGTATCAAGATGGGTTTTTTTGCATTCGGTTTCTAAAATTATGTGGAAAAAATGTAGCAACTTTGTATTATGTTTTTCGGCCAAATTGCATTTATGCAGTGCAAAATGCATTCCGGAAAATGCGTTTTTTAAAGTAACTTAGAAAAATTCATAACTCGGTTAATAATGCCTGGAATGGACTCAAATCAGGGTCCTGGGGGGTTTTCGAGGTCGCTGATCCCGAATATGACCTTCAAATTGGTCCATCGCCGACCTGGAGCTTAGGATTGATGATGAACGTCATCTCCGAGGCTTCTCCTGAATTTCACTCTTANCAGAAATTAACGTTGTTAGTAAAATGTCTCAAAATCCTAATATTTATATTTCCGAATGTGTAACTGCCTCAAAAAATTTAATTAACTATATTAGTGAAAAAAGAACTGATGAAAGTTTTAATTTAATTTATAAAAGAAGCTGAATCAATAGCTGCAGAAGTTAATATTTTGCCCGAATTTCCTCTTGTACGCCAAAAAAAAGTGCAATGACGAAAGTTGATCAAAGTGCCATTGTTGATCAAGAACAAAATTTTAAAGTACATTGTTATTTTAGTATATTAGATACCACGAACAATTCACTAAAAGAAAGATTTTCTTTAATAGAAGAATCTAATAATGTATTTAATTGTTTATACGAGTTTCACGAAATGGAATCAGAATTTTTGAGAAAATCATGTTTATTTACAACAAGGGAATGGGGACTTCCTTCAACGAGATATCGATGGAAAAGAGCTCTATAATGAAATTTTATGTTTTAAAGCCATTGTTACTTACCTCTTGTTTTCCTCATTTAGCCGTACATTAGGTACCTGTGACGGTCGCCTCTGGGGAAAGGAGTTTTAGTAAATTAAAACTCATTAAAAATTTCTTACCGTCTACTATGTCCCAAGAAACCTTGCCAATATTTCAATTTCAATTTTCAAAAAACTTAGACATATCAAATATAATAGACGATTTTGCTTCTAAAAAAGCTTGTAGGGTTTTACTTTAATTTTATTTATACGTATATTTATTATAAATATATATTATAGATATATTATAGACTTATTTTATTTTTGTGATTTTTCGGTTGTTGTGTATTTATTTTTAAGTTTGTTTTTTATCGCATGTAAATAAATATGAATCTAAATACAATAAGGTTTTTATTTTTTTTTTAAATAATTTTGTTTCATGAAAGGGTCCTTATCAAATATCACAAAGTGATGGGGTGTTGATTTTTGACGTCTTACTCAAATCAGTATTTTTATTTCAAAATTTCATTCAAGAGTAGGGCGGCAATTAATTTTTTGCACGGGGTGGCAGAAGATCCACGAACGGCACTGCATGGAGACGATCTAATAATGTCATTTGATAGAGTTTGAGCGTCGATTTAAAAATATATAGGGTTTGTTATAGCTATTTGTTAAAATAAAAGAGATACAGGGCCGCGAATACCAAACTGAATCACCCTGTATACAATGCGTCAGGAAACACCCTGTAAAATACATTATAGACGCTATTAATAAATATGCATAATTAAAAGTCCATCAATCACAATTATTTAAAATCATCTAATTAAGTAGTGGAGCAAAACGTCAACAAGCATACCAAGGAGGAAGTTGTAATATTTTTATATCAAATCCGTTACAAGGAAAATTTTATAAAGCGGGAACGTACTACAGTTCATCAAATCCTAAAATTCCGCCGTAATTTCGCCGAAATCATTTTTCTTGGAAATCCCCGCTGAGAGAAACGGATTTGATTTACCGTGTAAATCCTGAAACTCACCGCCAACGTCATTAAAAAGTATTTTAGGTAAATGAATTCCCGTCTTCGATCTGCTGCCACGAGATGTAATTTAAGGAAATCCCGTGTACTTACCATAATGATGATACACACTAGGATCTTCCGGCGCTAATCTCTGAGCTTTGCGGAACCACTGCTCCGCCTCGGCGGCCCTGCTCATCTGAAAATTAATACGAAAAATTTGAATTCATTATGATAATTTGTTACTTCCTGAGAGGTGTATCTTTCCTTTATTCGGCGTTTTGCCTCAGGCGCTATTATGCGAGGGGCTGTTAGACAACTTTTTTCTTTTCTAATTTTAAAATATACCGCGCGCAAAAAAATCTATATTTCATCAATTTACCAAATACCTGATTTTATGTCCAATCTATCTTTGATTTATAACTATGGTGATTAGATTTTTACAACATTTCAGGTGCGCTTAGGCTATTTGCTTTATTTCTCATACTTTATAAAAATATAATTAACTAAATGCACCTATAAAGTTAATGTGGAACAAATCAAGTATTCTATAGTAGAACCGTTTTAAGATTGCCTTTACGGCACGCGTGTGTCGTAATATCAAAGACAGTCGTTGCGGACGTGTATTCATTATTAAACGCGCTAAAAGGAGGTACAATGATGATCAGAGAGCGGACAATTTGTGACTTTAACCTTGAACATAGATATGTCATTCCTAAACCTAGATACATTACCCATGACGCAGTGGCGTGTCGGGTATGCATCGGAAATTTACGTGATAATTCACGAAAATTCCAGGGTACATACATTTTTAGGCGTTATAAAATATTTAGAAAATCAGAAATTGTATACTACATATTTATTAAATAAAGTTCGGTTAAAAATAGTGTCGTTCTTTTAATTGGAAATTAGGAGTCAATGTAACGAATAGCCTCAGGCGACGCACATGATAGAATAGTCCAACTCACGCTCCATTCATTACAGGGCTGCAGTTTGAATTCTGACCAATAGGAATTCGATAAACGCAACGGATGTCGACGGAAGGACTAGAGATGGGCGCGAGTGTCATTTCATTTCTTTAGAACTAAATTAACTTAATTATTTTCTCGTTATTTAACCTGTTCACATGATTTATAGATTTTAAATAAAGGGTACAAATCTTCGCGAGGATAATACGATATATTTGCTATACATAGGAATAATTATATTTTGCATAGTTTATACCACAATACATTTTTGAACGCGTACACATCTCTACCAAAATTTGACCTATTCTTCGGGTTAAAGTCACACATTGTCACAACCGTTCCAATATTTTATGTGTATTAGAGTGAAAGAAAATGGAGGACGTTTGTTGGGAATTAATTTTAGACTATAGGTTGACTAGCGTATTTAAAAGCAGAACTGACACTCAGATTAAAAATTTGACAGTTGTTTTGATCGCGTCTCCATACTAACTATTATATATATTTTCTTAGCGTTGAAATATCGATTTTTCGGCATATTTTCATATCCAGTATTACCAGTATTAAAATTTGCCAAAAATCCAGATTTGGGAATTGTCAAGATGAGATTTCAATTATATGAAAACAGTGACTAATTTGACTAGGATTTTTCGACTTAGTTCATACGAATATTGCTTGTGACGCAATGGAAAAGATACAGCGGTTTTAGTTTAGCTCTAATTGAAGATACTTTAGTCCAGTCGGTATCTGTTTTAAAAGTAGGTTGTATGGAAGTTTCATATAGTAACGCTAATTTTTGTTGGAAATAGTTCTAAATATTATGTAAAATGATAATTGCAATAGGCGCCCGCTGAAAGAGTTGTGCATAATTGTTTGCGCAAGAAAATGTAAAAGAAAATTTTAAAAAGGCGGATTTTTCTCCCTTCTTTCACGTATAACTCGGAAAATATTGATATTAGAGAAAATACCTAGTCATTTTGAGATTCTCTTCAAAATAAAAGTAGTCCGAAATTTTTATGTGCATTATTGTTGCTGCAATACAGTACCGAAAAAAAATTCGTGAAAAAATGTTTTTTCATGAATTTATTTCGAGCCTTGACTTTAGAGTAGCCATATAAAATGTATGATTCTGAGTACTTCATGATATGGTAGTACTTCAGAATTTTTTTCATCGAAATCGGCCTGATAGATTTCGCAGAATTCCATTGTTAATTAAGAAAATACAGAATCATATTTATTTTTCAATTCTCTCTCACTGTAAAACCAATGATTATTTTGAGCTCCCAATTTTTGCACATACCCTATGGAGTCTCAACTATCAATCCCCATTTAATAGTTTTTGATTTTATCAATTTTTGAAACAATTAGAAATTTTTCAAAATTTCTTCAAAACAATACTTATGAACATTTTTCAGCTTCTATAACAGAACAGATGTTTTTTTTAATCGATAGAGGAAAGCAAGATCTAGTCGAATTTTACAATGTCGTTTCAAAAAAATCTTCCAATTTAAATTTATATGCAAAGTAAAGAACAATAAAGTATATATGATAAAATGTATGAAAATCCAGCTACTAAAACGTTTACTAATATTTCACAAAAATAAAAATAGACTTATAAATAATAAAAGGAAATTTACCACTTATGGAAAGTAGAAAAATATAATAGCATTTTCTTGCATATTTACCTTTATATCACGAATATGCTCCTGCAGCAATTGAAATATCAAAAAGTAACCAACACAAACTACTGTCAAGGTCGTTTTACAGCAAAATAATAGCGACTAGATTCGTTATCTGTTGTAGAAGCTGACAAAAAATTGATTGAAATTGCGCGAGTGAATTATGCCACTCCTCAATCTTTGACTCTGTTCCTGTGAAATGTATCGATCTTTTTTGCATCAGAACAGTTAAAATATATTTCCGATTTAAACAAATTTTAATAGTTATAAAGCCTTTGCTTCAAACAATCAGAGAAAGAGGCAAAATCGCAAATAGTGCCCCAGACGATACCTAAAGAGGGGTTCCACCAGTGCTTCTAAAGTCACTTTTGATTGTTATTGTACAGTACGTTTTTTTTTCTTAAACTCACTTCAACTTTGAGCTTTCATATCTCGATGACGATTCATCGTATCCAAAAGATCAAAAATGTATTTTGTTCGTCAATCCTTTCTCTATTTGATCCTATAATTACATTTGAAGAATATGCAAATACGGTAGCTCCAGCTCTAAATATTTATAAGTATTACTTCGAAGAAATTTTGAAAAAAATTCTAATTGTTGCTAAAATGGATAAAATCGAAAATTTTTAAATGGGGATTGATAGCTGTTGAGACTTCAAAGAGTACGTAAAAAAATTGAAAGCTCAAAATAATCATTGGTTTTACCGTGAGAGAGAATTGAAAAATAAGTATAATTCTGTATTTTCTTAACTAACAATTGAATTGTGCGAAATCTAAAGGACCGATTTCGATGAAAAAATTTCTGCAATACTACCATATCATGAGATACTCAGTACTATATTTTTTATATGGCTGCTCTAAAGTCAAAGTCCAAAATAAATTCTTGAAAAAAAAAAAACATCTTTTTTCGGTCTATACTGTATTGCAGTAACAATAATGCACATAAAATTCTCGGACCACTTTTATTTTGAAGAGAATCTCAAAACGAAACTTTTTTCCTTTGGCTAATGTCAATATTCTCTGAGTTATACATGAAAGAATGGAGAAAAATACGCCAGTTTTAATTTTTTTACATTTTCTAGCGCTAACAATTATGCACAACATTTATTATCAAAGCACCAGATAATGAATAAGATACGTTTAGATGTGAGAATTGTAAAACATCTCGATATTAGTTAATCTTTTTAGACTGACTTAATGTTTGGGGTAGCCGGTGAATGTCGTCGTGATGAACTGTATCAATTAAATTTGAATGATGTAGATGATTTAGCTTTTGGTAATGAAACGAAAAAAACGAGATCATTTGTGATAAACGAAACAATGGGAATACATCAGTTTGGTAAAATTCCTCAAATTGTCGCAAAATTTTTAAATTTGCAAAATTCAGATAAATAAAAAGGACACTATTTTCGTCAACCCTCTGACCATTTTGGTTAATGCTGGGGCAGATTTAATTATTGCATTAGAGACATGAGGAATGGACATTTTCAAATGTTGCCGAAGGGAGTACGTAATACTTTCCCAGCGTAGGCCGGAAAAGTAACTTTCCCGTACTGTTTGCTGATGGTTGGTTAGCAACAAACTAAAATACTAGAATACTATATTTTGGGGTCTGAAATTGGGCTGAAAAAGTACACATTTCTGATATTTTACTAATTCACAGAATTAATTAAAATTTAAGGGTAAAGAAATTTTGTGCAAGTATCTGTAAAAATCTTTATCGAATTTTCAGTTGAATTAAAAACATATTAAAAAAAGTTTTTGTAAAGGAAATAACAAAAATGTGTAGGTATACCTAATAGAAAACAATGAACTAATAAATAAAATTTTTGACAATGTATAATAACTTCATAAGTAATATTTAATTTTTATTATAATTAGATACTTGTACTTTGTGTAATAATAATAATTATTATCCATTATATGAATTCTTTAAATATCTGCCTACTAGTTTGGAAAAGAAATTAGATATTTATTTCTATTAATAATTTTCCTACTAATTTGCCACAGTTGGAAATAATTTTTGTTTAACTGTTTTTAATTATTATTTATTCAGTGCAATTTTTATTCAATTATTTATTTCCGTCATACTGAAACGAAAAATAAATTAAAATAAAAACCTCTTGTACCAAAAGGGTTCAATCAAGAGGTCGATTTTATACGTTTAATTTGATGTATGAAACAGATAAACTTAGCTAGCTCAATTCTCACTGATGTAACTAGCGCAAAAACTGAAACCCAATTATTTAAAAATAAAAATTTCCACAGAAATATTTTTCCACTACCTACATTTACAATTTTTCAATTTTGTGCAAAATACACTAAAAAATGATATATTGTTAATAATTAAAAACGAAAATACCAACAAATTAGCTTCAACTGTTCTCATCAGATCAAATCAGATTTTTACAATGTATTGCCAGAATTTCATTATTTCTTGTTTTTCCGACGTGAAATGTAAAAAAATGTTTCCGGTAAAAAATAGGAATTTTAATCCAGTAATGTTTATCTAAAAGTAGTGGATTTATTAACAAAGAGCGGAAATCCAATATATT